TTTTTGGAATTATTGCTCAAGATATGAAAATGTCAGTTTTCTGCTTGTTCTATACACCCTTGCAGTTATTAACTTGCACTGGTAGGATTGTGCCTCTTCTCCTGTAACTCAGAACAAGACGAGAAAGTGCTGACATCATTTCTTCTTCTTGCTCGACACATTCAGGTACCGGAGGTTGCGCAACAGGTCATTGGAGTTCAGGTACACCTTGTTTGGCTGTGGCTGAAATCGTGTGAGAGATCTCCTTACACCTTCAATCTGCTTCAGGGCAAGGAAGCCAGGGTTGTTTGCTATGGGCTTCACCAATCAGCTCGACACTCTTAGGCTCTCCCTGTTCATAACAATCTTTCTAGGACACTAGATGATTCCCCATGGTCTTGCAATCACACAATTAGCAATGTACTCAGTTCTAAGTCCCCCAGGTTAATTATGATTTAGCATTTTTGCAGCGCTTTGGTTGCTGCTGCCTGTTGGTCCTTATATTCTAAGCCTCCTAGCAAGGAAATTAAAGCCAGAACAACATCTTGGGCGGGGAACACATGATCTATTTTTCCTTGGAAAGTGTTTTGAGATACTGTACGCTTTCATAATCAAAGATGGATGCATATCTGAGTTAAAAGATGTATGCATATCTGGCGGCTAAAAGCTGGACTTTTGGCCAAACCAACAAGGAATATGTACTGGAATTCTCGTTAGTACCTGTTTACATATGTTTGAATTGCTTTGATTCTATTTTGGTTTGGCTGTGGGATTTATTTTATTAGAGCTTTATCTCTCGACCATATATGAGATGGATACTTCTTTTTATCCCCTTCAAATGCACAGTTCCACTAAAAGAATGCATTGGTACTCTATTTCTTCAGTAATAGTCGGCTAATGTTTGATTTTCAGTAAAAATTGACATAATCTGCTCATGTTTGATTCCTTGCTGGTTGTTATTATTTTTAATTCCTTAATCACCCGTGCCCCTTCATCTCTTGTGTCTTCGTTTGGTTGTTTTCATAAGCATATGCTGTGGCGATAGCACGAGCACTATACGCTTTGTTACCGATGCATATATTTTCTTTTGAATGTTTGGTTTATACTATCGAAGGTCGCCATTGCATTAGCACGGGTATTTAATTTCACAGTATTGTTATTTTATCGTGCGATCCATGTGTTTTTAGTACAAAAGTTTAGTTGTTCCGTAGAGAACGCACGGGCACACTACCTAGTACATATAATAGACTAAATAAATGATTAAAACAGGTACATTACAAACTCCAGTTGGGTTCACAGTGTACAGATCAGAACTGAATCATTAGCTTAGGAGTCCTGCTGCCATAATGTATTAAAATAATGCTTATATGAAATCTTTAGCTTCGCAACCCTCAGTGAATTAGAACATACAGAAATAATTACAGTGTACTATAGTGCTGGGATAAGGAAAGTTGAAAGAGAGTGTGTAATGTTTTTCTATAGTGATGAATAATTAAAAAATCAAAATTGTTTGAGAGCGAACTGCCTTTGCCTATCTTTATAGTTGTACTCAAATTTGAGAAGATAACAATGATGTATCTGGTTCTCATACACTGAATTGTAGAATAAACAAAATCCAAAATAGAATTTAGCCACTCAGTACAAAAATAATGTTGTGGTTTGACGTCAGATTTCTGGATACCATCAAAATCTATGAACAGACCAAGGGTTATGCTTATTGCTTACCTGAGTTTTGACAAACCACTTCACTGGTAGCTGAAGTTGGAATTTCTTGTTGACCTAGGGAGGGTAGAGGTACTGAAAGAAAAGGGAAAAATAATCAATTATAGAAACAAAAAAAAAACGAAAAAAGAGATATGTGACGGCGGCTACGGGAGAATAAATTGAGATGAGATTTGCAGTGCATCAGCAGTAAAATGGTTCTCATCATAAAGGACATGGTAATGGCTATTTGACACTCAATATATGAAAATTGCTGTTCTGGAAAAGGATGTGCACCGAGGTACCAACATACCTGAATACCAGCATGACTACACAAGTAGAAATCAAATTCAGTAGGATGGCAAATCTTTTGGTCAACCACAGGAAATGACTCAAGCCATGTCGGTAACTGATAATAGGTAAATGATGTCTTCCAGATAGGGAGCAAAGAATAGATCACAAGAGGACTGATGGCACAATAATCTGAGTAAACACATGCTTATTTATTTGAAACATATATAGTGCCCAAGGGCAAGCAGACATAACCAGTTCAACATGATCAAGATTCATTCTCAAAAACAAATGTCATAGTTCACAGATACAAAGGGTCCATTGGTTGGTTTGAGAAAAGACTGAGTGACTGACGATGCATGCACTGGTTAACACACCTGTTGTTCATAACACATTCAATAATAATTTGAACCACAAATAGAGCTGACAATCATACAGATCAAAATATGTCTATAAATTTACGTGTGCATACATAGGCTCATAGCAGTAAGTTAGCACTAAAAAAATCGTTCAATTGATGCAGATCCACAAGGATTTCTTTTTTAACCACACTCTTTCATGTAATGAAAAATACTAAGGGCCCGTTCGGTTGATCAGGAATGCACCAGGAATTATTCCAACCGCTCAAAACTTACATAAATTTGACGACCATTCCAGGCAGGAACGAATCCAGGGCAGGATTCACTGCTAACCGAACGTGCCCTAAATACATATATCAGATTTTAAACAACTCAAGAGTTGCCTAAAGAGTTTGCAGTTACATCCAGGTGTGTGAACAACACCGACAGCCTATGTTAGTAGTGAAAATAATAAGAATGGCTGCAACTCAACCATATCACTAATACAGAATAACGATTCGAAAACTAAAGAGAAGGGAAGACATAATCTGCAGAAAAAGTAAAGCAGCGACTTTTGTAAGAAAGGAAACATGATCATTATTTGGAGAACGCAGTCAAGTTCTTCATCATTATGTAGAAATGTCATTGGGTATTATACTACTAAGAAGTCAATTGCTGTCAGTAGACAGAACGCCCTGCAAAAACCACCACCAGAATGAAACCTTTTTGGCATTGGCCCAAATGATCACTATGTTGCAATCTCAATTGGAGAAAGTGGGCACTCAGAGAGTAACTGTACTTATGAGAAAGAAGATCTCAACTCAGATACAACAAATCCAGCCTTAATAGCTCATACACTATAAACATACTACCTTGGCATTAAATTTACGGCCTTCTGCTCCCAGAAACTTAACTGAATGTATATCCCTAAGTAATCTTCATTGCAAAAAGTATATTGTCTACTCGTGCTTAAGAAATTGGCATTTATTGATCTCTATAAGATCTATGAGATGTTGAGAATCTATGATCTCTCTAGTCATCTTGAGCTTCATAATCTGGCTGGTAGGGGGCCGCAAAGTTTCTAGTCAAATAAAAACACCTACAAGAATAAACTATTGGTAAAAGACCCCGAGCAAGAGTAATATTAAGCAGCACTCACATGGAATATAGGATGGCAATCACAGTGAATTAATAAATCAATATATTTCACGCAAGCCATAATAGTACTGTTCCAGGATATGTTCTTAGGCTACCACATAAGATACAACGTCGCAAACTGCAGACTATACAGGTACATACTTGCTTGAATGGGGGAGATTGCTTTAGGGGCGTCTTACCAAAACATAGCCCTAGTGACTGGTAGAAGATACTCATAGTCAAAGTTCAGATGAGAAACCTAAACATGGAAGAAACAGTGTTGATTCAGGGGTAGCCACTGAAAAAAGGCCCAATGCCTGAAGAACTGAAGCTTTCTGCTAAACAGAAGGAAAAGACTGTAGGATTGTACTTCAAGACAGATAGAATTTGTCATATTCAATAAAAAAAAAAACTGATGTCAGAGCTGTAGGAGGATTGCCCCTGTATGTATTACACTGCAAATCTTCAAAGTTGAAACTGACGTTAAACTCACTTTTGGTATTCACAAAAAATAGAACCAGGCATTTATATTATTGCAAAGAATCTATATAATACAATCAACTACCTTCATCTGTTACATAGTGCCACTTATTCTTCAGAAGCATACATGGAAACATTTGCTGGAAACACTATACCATGTAAACAACTAGGAAGATTTCAAGGATAATGCTTCTAGTTCTTTAAGCTTTAAAGTTTACTAAACAAAGGGATGTTGGCATTTGGCAAAGTATGGGATATAATTATTGTTCCTTCTTCAGCATAAGAACATTTGGCTAAGTTATTGTAAAACTGCAAGATATAATAAGTAGAGAAATATTATATAGAAAAAAAATCATTTCTTCACATGCACAGGACAGAAGAAAGACAAATCCACAGTTCACTTACAGTTGAAGAATAAGTTATGAAAAACACTAGCTCAACTTAAACTGGTTGTAATAAGGAATAATTGACTATAGCTGAATAGAATACATTCTTCATTCAGCTTCTCCTCGACAGCCAAAGCGAATGCAAGTAACCAGCAGCACAACAACCAGTCACATTCGAGCTTAATGTAACAGAGCTCTCAGTTCAAACATTTCTGAGACATGACCACCGCATCATATGGAAAATAAATGCGATTTCCAGCATAAATAAACATACACATCACCAAGGAAAACACAAATTCAGTCAGTAATTGCTCGATAAGGCTGAGAGAAAGGAAGCACATATAAAAGATGGAGACATCATTCCGGAAACACAAAGGGTAGCATTTCAAACTCATAACTTGGATGTGCTGGGTAGCTCGAACTAGACCTAGTTGGCTAGTTCATGGCATTATGCATTAACAAAAGAACTAGCATATTTAATGCTAAACTGCATGCTGTCTAGTAAACAACTCTCACAACATTACAAAAGGGTTACATTAAAGCACCAGCAGAATAGATCACCTATTGATAATAGATTAATCCAAATTTGCACCACCTAATACGTAGATTACCCACACTGCTAGTTGCCCATACTTGGAAGATCAAGCTATTGCTGAACATTCAGAGAAGTATCCCACAAGCAACAACCTCAGTCCTTGGTGGCAAGAACCAGTGACTCCATGAAATATGGAACATACGGGGAAATAGACCGATATCCCTTTCCTAGAGTGCAGAGAGCACGCAGCTCCTTACTATCCATGTCATATGACACCAGTTTCTGGTTCCAGTGCTGAACAAGGATTATCGAATTGTGGTCCGGATGAATGACCACAATATCGTGGTTGTCGATTGGGCAACTCAGTGATCCAAAGAGCTGCGAAAAGCTCACATTGTGCTTCAGGATCCATTCTTCTGTATCATAGTCCTCAAGAACCCAAACTGACAGTTGCGTGAAATGGAACTTGAAGTCTTGTGATTGCAGATTCGTACTGATGCAGTGCAGATGGCCTTGGGATTGACCAATAAAAGCAATGGCATCAACATGCTTAACAGGTGGGCAAATGATCCTACAAATTGTCCCTTCCCCATCCACCGCAACTATCAGATTCTCCTCTTCCTCATAATGGTAGGCAACAAAATGCAATAGACCATTGACCAAAGCCCTGCCGCGCATGAAAAGGAGAACAGCTTCAATAAAAAGCAACAGACCATCGACCAAAGCCCTGCCGCGTGTGAATTCGATTATGGCTTCACCATGACCCCGCAGTACCCCCCATCCACCGCGCTCTTCACCTGGCTCCCACTTGTTCGACGTGTCACTCCATGCCCTGGTTTCAGACGAGTAAGAGTGCACCGTTTTCACCTCAAACATCGACCTATCCTGCCAGAACTGGACCAAGTGGAAGCGCGAGGAGACAATCGGGTCAAACATCAGATAGGTGTGTGCATATGTATCCCCATCACAGACATCGACAGTTCTGTCTTCCAGTGGAGTAAGCGAAGGAGGTGGACAAGAACCAGAGCTGGCGGGCATAGTCACCAATTCCTCGGTCGCAGGGTTGCACACGATGTACCCGAACTTGTTCTCCCGGGTGCACCCAAAGAGCAGGAGCCCATTGCAGGAATCCAAGAGGACCATGCGCTCGACCCAAGGCAGCTTCGCCGTGAGGAAGGAGAAGGAAGGGTCGACTGGAGGAGCAGATTCTCCTCTCCCCGACAGGCTGGTGAAGTGCACATAGCTGTGCCCATCAGCGCCATCGTGGAAGAAGCCTTCCAGGGTCTGGGGCAGCTTCTTGCGGTGGAGGGGGTCGGCGATGAGGTCGCGCCAGGGTTTGGACACGCACGTGGAACGGCGGAGGTCCTTGACGCGCAAGCGAGAGAGGATATCCACCATCAGGTCGTCGCAGAGGCCCGCCACCGCCGTCCCCTTTGCGTAGTCCATGCCGCCGGGAGTGGGGAAGGGATGCGCCGCAAGCTGCGAGTTCTGCGGAGAATGAGGTGAGGATAAGGGATGGATGCGCACGAGAGACAGGGAGTGAGAAATGCGGCGATTGGGGAACGAACCGGCTGCCGGAGAGGGTCGGCGGCGGCGCCAACCGGCGGGGGAATTTCTAAACCCTCGCCCCTCTCGCGTGTCGCCTCTCGCTCACGAGTCGGGATTCAAAGTGGGGGACTGAGAAAGAAGGCTGGGTGCATTTTCTAATAGTTTTTTTTATCACGCCATTACAATTTTACGACTACGAGACGTGCCGTTATAATTTATCTATTCGTAGAACTACCATTATAATTTTATCTCTCACTCATCCATACCATTTTGTACACCTTCTACGTATATGGTCCCACTGTCAGGCTATTAGTACAAAAACGTGTATGGATGCGTACAGGCCCACTGGACGCGCACGACAGCTTCCACGACGCCCCTGGTTGCGCTCGCCGCGCTCCAAGCCGAGGCCCGCGCTGCGCAGGGAGCAGCCGGCCCGGCTGTGCGTTGGCCGCACCCGCGCTCCGCTCCGCGGGACCTCGCTCCCGTGGGTCGCGTCCTCGGCGCGCGCGGTGGCCGCCAAGACCCTGCCCCGCTCGCGGCCGCCAATATCCCGCACGCTCCAACGAGGATCCGTTGTTCTTGCCAGACTTGTGGCTAGCGACTGTCTCCTTGGCCTGACAGAAGATCTCGCGCGCGTGCTCCTCTTGGCGGCCGCCCTCTCGTCCTGCCCGCGCCGGCTGCAGGCAGCCAGGCACCATCCTTCTTCTTCTTCTTCTTGCATGCAGGATATGGCGGCGGCGGACTGTAGAAGGGAAAGCGAAATATGATCCAACCCACACCTTGTATTGATCTCAAGTGTTACATATATAGAGATTACAACGGTGGCCTTTGGCCATGCCTATACACGGAGTGCGAGCGAGCGCGCTACACGAGCGGGCGAGCGCGCTGTGCGGATCACAGGTGCCACGGTGACCGCGTCCTGCGGTGGCGTGGGCGCGATGGGTGCTAGACGTTACAAGCCCTGGAGACTCGGGCAGCTCTAACCGTTGGAGACCTGATTCCAGACGTCGGCTGTGGTGACGGAGAGGTTGTCTCTAAAATCGAAGAACAGCGCGGAAGGTAATCCCTTGGTGAACACAACTATGAGTTGCCACGCACTGGGAACGTGTGTGACACAGAGCTCTCCAATGGCGACCTTCTCCCGGACGAAATGGATGTCAAGCTCAATGTGCTTGGTTCGTCGGTGATGCACTGGGTTCTTGGACATGTACACAGACGAGATATTGTCGCAGAATGCTACGGTCGCCGTCGGTACGTTGCAGAGCAGCTCGCCGAGGAGATGACAAAGCCAGGAGCACTCGGAGACGGCGTTGGCGATGGCGCGGTACTCGACCTCGGCACTCGACCTCGACACCGTGGTTTGTCGCTTGGAGAACCACAAGATGAGGGAGTTGCCGAGGAACACGTAGAAGCCTGACGTGGAACGCCGCGTGTCCAGGCATCTAGCCCAGTCGGCGTCCGAATACGCGGTGATTGTTGGCGACGCCACGGTGCGTAGTTGAATGCCGAGGTTGCTTGTCCCTTTGACATACCTGAGGATGCGTTTCAGCATCATCTGATGAACATCGCGTGGTGCATGCATATGCAGGCACACTTGCTGCACGGCGTACGCGATATCAGGACGTGTGATCATTAGATATTGCAAGGCCCCGGGAATACTCCGGTAAGTGGTGGCGTCGCTGAGGAGGTGACCATCGGCAGCAGACGACTTGGGCTTCGTGTCCGTGGGTGTGGCGACAGGGTTGCAGTTCACCATGCCGGCGCGTTCCAGAAGATTGGCGGCATACTAGGCTTGGGAGAGGTAGAACCCCGTGTTGTTGCACTGAACGCTGATGCCGAGGAAGTGTTTGATCGGTCCCATGTCCTTCACGGCGAAGGCATCCTAGAGGCAGGTGATGACTTGGCGAAGCAGGCTGGTGGTTGATGCGGACAAGATCATGTCGTCCACATACAGAAGGAGGTACGTCGTCGGCCACCGCGGTTGTACACGAAGAGTGATGAGTCGGCCTTTGACTGGACAAAGCCGAGAGACGTCACATGGCCGATGAAGCGCTCGAACCACGCCCGTGGTGCTTGACAGAGGCCGTAGAGGGATTTGGAGAGAAGGCAGACGGCGTCCGGGCGTTGAGAGTCGACGAAGCCTGTTGGCTGCTGGCAGTAGACTTGCTCCTAAAGATTGCCATGGAGGAAGGCATTGGAGACATCAAGTTGGTGAGCCGGCCAGTTGTGCGTAGCCACGAGCGTGAGCACGGTACGAATTGTGGCCGACTTGACCACTGGGGAGAACGTCTCCCCAAAGTCGACACCGGGACGTTGGTGGAACCCCCGAATGACCCAATGGGCCTTGTAGCGCTCGAGTGTGCCGTCGGGGTTGAATTTGTGCTTAAACACCCACTTGTCGGTGATGACTCGAGCGCCTGGTGGACGAGGGACGGGTGCCCAAGTTCTGTTGGCCTGTAACGCATCAAACTCACACTTCATGGCGGTGTACCAATGTGGATCCTTGACGGCGGAGCGAACACTGTGGGGGATCAGCAAGACGTTCGCGGATGCCGTCAGCGCGTACTTCGGGTTTGGCTTGTGGATGCCGGCTCAAGTGCGGGTCACCATGGGATGGCCCGCGCTGCTTGTGTTAAGATTTATTAAGATCACATAGTCATAGATCTAGCCGGGGTACATCTAGTAAATGGATAACATGTCCTAGTACGTGAACTAGACAGAGATTAGAGAGAGGAGTAGTGCTAGGTTACCGACCATCGTAGGGCTTCATCTAGCGACGTCAGCCATGGTCATTGTGTCGGTGTCTGCGCGAGGGCAGTGACGGTCGGTGAAGACGGTGATGGTGATGGGCGGTGGCGACCTGCGGTGAAGACTGATGGCTGCGCAGTGCAGTGGTGGAGGTGCTTCCCGTCACTGGCTGCGCCCCTCACTAGATAGGGTTAGGGTTTATCGGTGGGGAGCTCGGCTCAGGCGAACCTCGTGCTCAGAGCCGCCAGCCCCCACCTCTATTTATTGCGTAGTGTGACAGGGGGCCTCCAGCCATAGTGGGCTAGGCGCCCCGATTAGGGCGTGGATCAAAGGCCCAACTGAGCCGTTGGGCCCAGTTTGGGATTAGAGATCAATCTAACAATCTTCCCCTTGATCTCCTACCATCTTTCAATTTCATATCATTTACTTTTGTTTATTCCATTATAGATTAGCGTATAGAGCATGTTTCATCGTCACGGTCAATTGCCGATAGATTTAACATCTACAACACACCACTCTGTTCTGAAATAGATACTTAACTTTGGGCCTTCTTTTGTCCAGGAATTATAGGCTTTCCCTTAAACCCATGCCGGCTACATGTTCTCTGAACACATTAGATGGTAAGCCTTTTGTAAGCGGATCTGCGAGCATCTTTTTGGTACTTATATGCTCAAGACTTATGACATGATCCCGGACTTTATCTTTCACAATATAATACTTTATGTCAATGTATTTGGCAGCACCACTTGACTTATTATTATGAGCATATTGTACTACCGGATTATTATCGCAGTATAACTTAAGTGGTCTATAGATGTCGTCAACCACCTTCAAACCGGGTATGAACTTCTTTAGCTAGTTCACCTGTCCCATTGCCTTATAACACGCTACAAACTCAGCATTCATTGTGGACGATGTAGTGACGGTTTGCTTTGAGCTTTTCCATGAAATAGCCCCCCCTGCGAGAGTGAATACATATCCAGACGTGGATTTTCTATCATCTCCAGCATAATCAGAATCTGAATATCCCACGATATGGAGTGAATTTGATCTTCTATATGTCATCATGAGGCTTTTCGTTCCTTGCAAATAACGTAAGACTTTTTTTTACTAATTTCCAGTGTTCTGTTCTAGGATTGCTCTAGAATCTGCCAAGTAACCCGGTAACAAATGCCAAGTCAGGGCGCGTACATACTTGAGCATATTGCAAGCTTCCGACAGCTGAAGCATGTGGAACCGTTTTTATTTGATCGATCTCATACTGATTCCTAGGACATTAAAAATCCCCATATCTGTCGCCCTTGACTATATGAGCAGGTGAGGGACTACATTTGTGCATACTGAATTTCTTTAAGATCCTTTCTATGTATACCTTTTGTGATAGTCATAATACCCCTTTACTTCTATCTCGGTGAATCTCGATCCCTAGAACGAACGAAGCTTCACCAAGTTCTTTCATATCAAATTTTGAGGATAAAAACTTCTTTGTCTCTAGTAGTAGACTGACATCACTACTAGCAAGTAAGATATCGTCTACATACAGGACAAGGAAGATAAACTTCCTATTCTTAAACTTTGCATAGACACAATTGTCCTCAACATTCTCTTTAAACCTAAAATTCCTTATTGTCTGATCAAACTTCAAGTACCACTGTCTTGAAGTTTGTTTTAATCTATAAATAGATTTCTTTAGGCGGCATCCCATTCGTTCTTTTCCTTCCATGACAAAACCTTTCGGTTGTGCAATGTAAACATTTTCCTCCAAGTCCTCGTTGAGAAATGTCGTCTTTACATCAATCTGATGTAATTCTAAATTATAATGTGCCACTAATGTCATTATGATTCTGAAGTAATCCTTACATGAGACTGGAGAAAAGGTCTCATTGTAATCAATGTCTTCTCTTTGCGTAAAGCCTTTTGCCACAAGTCGTGCTTTATATCTCTCTATATTTCCTTAAGAGTCAAGTTTTGTTTTGTAGACCCATTTACAGCCTACTGTTTTGGCTCCTTTAGGAATTATTTCTAAGTCCTAAACTTTATTGACATTCATATATTTCATTTCATCTTCCATGGCCTCAAGCCACTTTGATGATTGATCACTTCTTATGGCTTCTTCAAATGAGGTGGGATCATCCTCCATTTGAAATTTC